ATTTGGTTCAATTAACACAGTGAAAAGTCCTCCGATCACCGTTAAGCACACAGCACGTCAGTCTCAGAATTCAGCTAAACCTCCTTCAGTGTGCTGGCACTGTGGTTCGTGGCATTTTGTCAAGTTCTGTCCTTTCAAGAAGCATAAATGCCGTAATTGTCACCGTTTTGGACATAAGGAGGGTTACTGTCCACCGCAGAAAAATCCTTCGGTGAGGAACAGAAGTAGTCGTTTCAAGCCGAAACAATCTCCTCGAGTACAGACCATTTTCACAACTTCCAAAGTCGATTTCGCCAGCAAACGTAAGTACATTACACTAGATATTAACGGCAAACATATTCGTCTTCAGTTGGATACGGCATCAGATATCACCGTAATTTCCCGAACTACGTGGCGCAAACTTGGTTGCCCACAGATTCTGCCGACCGAGCATTTCGCCAAGAATGTCTCTGGAGATATACTGAAACTCGTGGGTGAGATAAATTGCCAGGTTCAGTTTGGTGAGCATCACTTCAATGGTGTATGTTACGTTACAAACTACCATGATTTGAATTTGCTTGGTCTTGACTGGTTAGACAAGCTCCATATCTTTAATGTACCATTAAATTCAGTATGCTCTAATGTTTCGTTCTCACCACACAACGTTGTTCCCGGAGATGTATCTGATCAATCTCTCTTGCAACGCCGTCGTCAAAAGCACGCTTCTGTCTTCCAGGACAAACTTGGTTGCTGCAAACTGTTTGGCATCCAGCATATTCGTAGCCCCCCGTATCATCCCCAATCGAATGGACAGACTGAACGTTTCGTCGACACCTTTAAGCGTGCTTATGCAAAAGCGAAGGGGGAGGGAACAACAGAAGAAATTTTGGATAAATTCTTGCTGCATTATCGTACGAATGTAAAAGGACAGTTATGTGTCAGACACACAGATCACACTCTATCCAGTACCACGCAAAGGTCAACTCGACAAAGAAGAGCTCCGAAACCTTTTCAAATAGATCCAAAAAGCAAGTCCTACACTCTTTACGGGGAGAGGTGATAGGATCTCACACATTTTGGTATTGACTGTTAATCTTGCATATATTGTATATCATCATTCCCACACATTTTTTTATTGACTGTTAATCTCGCACATATGGTATATTATCATTTCTCACGCGCTTTGTTATTGGCTAGCTGTCCATATTGTTGTAAAATGTATAAATACCATGGCTTTCTTTGTCGTTGTTTTACTTCAATACACAGTCACAGTCCAGCCTTTGTCTTTTGATATTTGCGTGCTTTACTAAATCGGAAGGTACGACAAGCAGATAGGCAGATTAGTTCAGGCGCAGACAGAACAAGACGACAACGTCTTCCTTGAATTCCCTACAGTTATAACAAATTGGCGACGGGGTTTTACCTTAATTCATTGCTGCTATAACAAGCAAGCGACGACGGGTCTTATTCTGTTCAGCGCAGCTATAGAACATTTTTGACTGTGTTAATTACAACCCAATTACAATGTCTATCTCTCTGGACGATCTCAAATCTATCTTGCAGCAGCAGCAAGTTCAGAATGAAGCAGCTCAACTAAAATTAATCGAAGCTCTCACTCAGAAGCTGTCCATTCAAGTTCCATCAACATCTCATTCTGACAAATATGAAAGCATCTCAAATTCCATCAGTGAGTTCAACTACGACCCAATATCTGGTCTCGTATTTGATGCATGGTTCAATCGTTACGAAGACGTTTTCCGTATTGAATGCTACATGTTTGATGATGCTGCCAAAGTCCGATTGTTACTAAGAAAACTTGGTACTGTTGAGCACAACAGATATGTTAACTTCATTCTGCCCAAGAACCCACGTGAGTTATCATTCGATGAGACAGTCACCGTTTTATCACAAATCTTTGGTGAACAGTCATCCATGTTTAATATTCGGTATCAATGTTTTCAGTTGACAAAAATGCCTTCCGATGATTATGTCACTTACGCTGGCAAAGTGAACAAGGAATGTGAAAGGTTCAAACCACACGAAATGACATCAGATCAGTTCAAGTGTTTGATTTTTATTTGTGGGTTGAAGAACCCAGAAGATACTGACATAAGAACTCGACTTCTGTCACTCGTGGAACAAGACCCGAAAATGACTTTACAAATGGTGACAGCAGAATGCCTACGTTTAATCAACTTGAAGCACGATACTGCTATGGTGGAGTGCAAACGACAGTCGTCTGAATTTGGTTCAATTAACACAGTGAAAAGTCCTCCGATCACCGTTAAGCACACAGCACGTCAGTCTCAGAATTCAGCTAAACCTCCTTCAGTGTGCTGGCACTGTGGTTCGTGGCATTTTGTCAAGTTCTGTCCTTTCAAGAAGCATAAATGCCGTAATTGTCACCGTTTTGGACATAAGGAGGGTTACTGTCCACCGCAGAAAAATCCTTCGGTGAGGAACAGAAGTAGTCGTTTCAAGCTGAAACAATCTCCTCGAGTACAGACCATTTTCACAACTTCTAAAGTCGATTTCGCCAGCAAACGTAAGTACATTACACTAGATATTAACGGCAAACGTATTCGTCTTCAGTTGGATACGGCATCAGATATCACCGTAATTTCCCGAACTACGTGGCGCAAACTTGGTTGCCCACAGATTCTGCCGACCGAGCATTTCGCCAAGAATGTCTCTGGAGATATACTGAAACTCGTGGGTGAGATAAATTGCCAGGTTCAGTTTGGTGAGCATCACTTCAATGGTGTATGTTACGTTACAAACTACCATGATTTGAATTTGCTTGGTCTTGACTGGTTAGACAAGCTCCATATCTTTAATGTACCATTAAATTCAGTATGCTCTAATGTTTCGTTCTCACCACACAACGTTGTTCCCGGAGATGTATCTGATCAATCTCTCTTGCAACGCCTTCGTCAAAAGCACGCTTCTGTCTTCCAGGACAAACTTGGTTGCTGCAAACTGTTTGGCATCCAGCATATTCGTAGCCCCCCGTATCATCCCCAATCGAATGGACAGACTGAACGTTTCGTCGACACCTTTAAGCGTGCTTATGCAAAAGCGAAGGGGGAGGGAACAACAGAAGAAATTTTGGATAAATTCTTGCTGCATTATCGTACGAATGTAAAAGGACAGTTATGTGTCAGACACACAGATCACACTCTATCCAGTACCACGCAAAGGTCAACTCGACAAAGAAGAGCTCCGAAACCTTTTCAAATAGATCCAAAAAGCAAGTCCTACACTCTTTACGGGGAGAGGTGATAGGATCCCACATATTTTGGTATTGACTGTTAATCTTGCATATATGTTATATCATCATTCTCACACATTTCGGTATTGACTGTTAATCTTGCATATATTGTATATCATCATTCCCACACATTTTTTTATTGACTGTTAATCTCGCACTATGGTATATTATCATTTCTCACGCGCTTTGTTATTGGCTAGCTGTCCATATTGTTGTAAAATGTATAAATACCATGGCTTTCTTTGTCGTTGTTTTACTACCATACACAGTCACAGTCCAGCCTTTGTCTTTTGATATTTGCGTGCTTTACTAAATCGGAAGGTACGACAAGCAGATAGGCAGATTAGTTCAGGCGCAGACAGAACAAGACGACAACGTCTTCCTTGAATTTCCTACAGTTATAACACTTTTCCTTTGTCAGCTTTTGCAATGACAATATTTTGTATCCGGTTTTAAACTAATTAAGGATTCTCTTTCCGGATGTTGTTTAGTTTGATTTTGCCTTCTTTTCATTTTTCAGGGTTAATATGCATATTGCGCTCGAACCTCTTCTGCTGTTGTTTTATCTGTTGAACACCTAGTGCTACGTGTATGTTAGAAATGACATCCTCTGTTCTTTCCATTATGGGTAAATTTTTGTTTTGATATATATATATATATATATATATATATATATATATATATATATATATATATATATATATATATAGCGTATATCAATGATCCTCTGGTTTTAATTAACCAACTGTTACGTTGAAATGTAATCCTTTCTCAAGTTACTTTTATCTCACTAGAGCTTAGTACCCTCTCATCATGGGAACTATCATAAGATCGAGTAAAAGAAAAACAAATGTATTTATATAAAAGAATTTAAACTTTATGAGTACATAAATATTGTGTTGTCTCTTCTGAAATGACCAGTTAGCTAGTTAGTTAGTTCTTTGGTTGAATGAGTCTCCCACCACAAATCATCTATGCTCAAAGACAAGTATATATGTATATATAAGGCAAGCAGTAATATGAATAGTGATAGTGAGTGAGTAGTGAGTAGTAATCGACAAGCTAAACAGGATTCAGATAAACGTTTAACTTTTCAAAAACTATAATAAAATAACAACAATAAGAATGAGAAAACCAACTCAACAAGCAGGAAAGCAGATATCACAATACCTAAAGGTGAACTTTTGTAAATTTGTACTCATATTATACGATGATGTAACAGGGTAATCCTTTTATTTTTGGAGAAGACGAAGTAGAAGAGGACACATCAAATGGGAAGAAAATAATAATAATAATGACGATGAGATTATTTAAGCCTAAATACTCTTTAAATAATGGTATGAATGATAATGAAAGTAAAAGAAAAGAAAAACAAGAGAGAGATTTCAGTACACTGAAACTGGTACATCATCATCATCAACAACAACAACAATAACACTGACAGGCAACCGGTATTTGCTGAAATCAATAATGAGGCTAAATAATGTAACAAAAAAAAGAAAGAAATACAAATGCAACACAAATCTAAGGACAACTGAGAAAGTATTGACAACAAAGAAAGAAAGAAAGAATATAAAAGAACATTAAAGAAATGAGTTATATTATTTTAAATGTGTATATATGAAAGAAATCGATAATTTTGATGAATTAATGATGATGGTGATATCCACCCCAACCACACACACACACTCCCACCCAACTTCACCTCATCATCTCACCCCTCTTTCATCTTCTTATGTACACCTCATAGTTAACTATCATCTGATTTATAATTATTTGATAAAAAGTCTAAAAGTTGTGATGCAATTAAATAGTCAGCACTTGTTAATGAATCAACTTCAACACCAGGTTGGATTTTCTCTGTTGATGATGATATAATCTGATTATGCGATGACGGTGATGGCGATGATGACATTGATGTAGTTGGTGTTTTTGTTGTGCTTGCTGTTGTGGTTGTGCTTGTACTTGTTGTTGAACTATTCACTCGATTACTTTCATCCATTATCTCTTGAAGAAAGTTATGAATATCACAGCATTTAGCTAAATCAGATAACGATGAAAATCTTACAGTCAAAAAATAGATTGTACGAGTTAAATAAATACCTAGATGGGAAATAAAAAAAAAGAAGCAAGGGGGAACGATTGAAATTTTCAATAACAATGCTGAAGAGAGAATGATTATAACTCAGTCAGGAAGTGAATGTCTAAGATGAATGCTACACATCATTACCGTCGTCATTATCATTAGTTTTTTTACGAGGCTTAAGTAACATTGATTTTCAAGGATAAGTTCGTAGGGACTGTAGTTGTTTCAGGTTAGATCATGGATTCGTGTCTGTTAGAGAACCACTGAAAACCACTAGGGATTACTAGACAGCTGTTTCATCTGCAGTAGCCACTCACAACGGCTCGAACCCAGGACCGCTAGGTTACAAGGCAAGCTCGTATGCCATTCAGCCACTGGGACCTGACTCACTAGCCAGCCCATGGATTAAGTTTGACCACCGACCAATGTCATCGGCGAGAACTCCATCTTCACTACTGACTGGACGGACCCCAGTGGTTACGACTTCTCACTAGAACTCCATGCAACTTCATCCTGTAGCCAATCACTAGCAAGCATCAGATTAATTTTCAAGAATTAGTGGCTGAATGGTACACCAGCTTGTCTTGTAACCGGAAGGTCCTGGGTTCGAACCCCACTGAGGTGGGTGCGCACTGCCGATCAATCCCAAACTGGGATGAAACGGCTATACACTACTCCGTGATGGTTTTCAATGGTTCTCTAACTGATATCAATCCAAGGTCTAACCTTAACAAGATTAGTTATTAGGTGAATGAGTGACACTGAATGAATGAATAAGCCTATATCGAATAAGTAATCATACATAGTGAATATAATTCCAATTCCTTGTAAAGCAATTATGATAGTGTTTCGAAAAGTAAATTTAAATTTAGGCTAATTAATAATACCACATCACCATTTTGTCCTGTTCTCTGCAGGATCCCCCGTAAGCCAGCATCCCCTCCTCTCACACGATCTCCTCCACTGTCCACCTCGAACCAATGCCAAACTCGTTGTTTCTCACTCCACTTCCACTCGAGTGATGGCCTGGCGTGCAATGTTATTTGACAGTCTGTCTCTTCAGCGTGTTCTTCTATAATGCTCCATTTCCTTCGACATTTTCTTTTAACAATAGGTTCTTGTTGATAATCCTTTCTGTGAAACCATCTGATCTTCAGTAGCCTGTTAGAAATGGTTTTAGTGACGCCCTGGTCAAGCTTTTGATCCATACAAAAGACCCAACTTAACACTGATGTCAAAAATCTTGATGTTGTTCTTTATGTTGAGCACAGTAGATTTTTAGACTGATTCCAAAGTGATGAAGTTCTACTTCGCACTTACGATTCTGACTGGTTTTGACATCTCAATCCGTACAGTCACCAGTAAGTATTTGAAACGATGCTTCTCGGATAAGTGAACGAAGGAAGTAACCTCTTTCAAATTTCTCCCGTTGATAGTAGCGATTGGTGCTGGTTTTTGGTTATCTTCTCTATGTTTACTTGAATTCTTGCTTTTGCTGGCTACCACTTCTATCCATTTGTTGGTATTTGCCTTTAAGTCTTCAGACTTATATGCCATTCAACATAAATCATCCGCGAAGGCCAGATCTTCTACAGCCTCCTTATCAGTCCAATGTATTCCCACGCATAGTGTTCCGCAAGATCCATTCAACCACAATGAGGAACATCATCGTGGATGACAGTAGGCAGCCTTATTTTACTCTTGTCTTCATTTGTAAGACTTCGCTGAGTTTACCGTTGTAAATCACTTGACACGTGGCATTGCTATATATAGGGTACCTTTTATTTCTAATAAAGTTGTTGTAACTGTTACAGGACGGTATTTATCTTCTGATATTTTTGTGCCACAGTGAAGCAGAAGGCATTTCAAAGAGAAGCATCACATTTCGTATTCAGTCAGGTTGCCTAATCCCTATACCAACGTATTAATCCACTAGAACACTACACATATCTAGCACCAACAAACACTGCAAATTTCAGTAATCTGAAAATTTCCACTTACACATTTAAAAGAGAAATATATTCCTCTTCATTCATTTTCTTATCATCAAAATTATACCAATCACACTAAGATTTATCTCCCTGTAATACAATAATAATAATAATAATAACTTCATAGTCTATCTGCGTGACGCTACATACTACTGATTCGCTGTGATGAGTAGTCCGAAACTCCTCACATCAATCAGTAATGCTGGTTAGCCAGCCAGTCAGATAGAACTAACCTAAACACCAGACAGCCGTTTCACTTGCATGGGACTGGATTCATCATCGATGTACCCTGTTTGAGTCAATGCACAGAGCTAAATCATTTCAAACCGCGCGAATTCTGGCCAGCTAAGCTAACTGGGCGAAATGGTAGTAAGTTAAATCAGACTTGTATACTGATTCACAACCTATAATTCCATACAGTTCCAGATGACATTCCACCACAGTTTCTGTCAGAAACAAGTATTTATTCTTTGCATTTCATTTATGACATGAAGCATATCACATATTGTGATCTGAATAACCGCGGTTTCCAAAAGAAATTATGGCGAGATAATCGCCCCCTAAAACTGCGTAAACTGCCAATCATTAATTTGACTTAACACAGGCACCAAAGAAGAATATGCACTAAAGCCAAATGACCCTAAACCAACCAGTTAATCAGATCGCTAAGCATTGCAAATGGATGTTTTTGATCATATTCTTCGCTGGTAGTTTCACTTTAACCCCCCCCCCCCCGCCATTAATCATAACCCTACCTTGAATTTACTCTAACCTTAACCCTGAATCAGCATGAAACTTACAAAGAAGATTATGAAAGACATACATTTATAATGCTGAGAGGTTTGATTGGTTGGTTCAAGGTGGTGGTTTGACGTTGGTGTCTATCTATTTACTGCTCCCAACTTCACATATTCAATTCACCTGATTATTACTATTATTCACGTGAACGACGTCATATCTAAGCCAACGTTTTAGCGACAACTGACTCGGGACCAGCTGTATCACTTTCATATGTTTGATAATTTGACAAAGATAACAGAATTATTAATTTTTTCTGAAAATGTGATTGTTTCACTCCTACTGTAACCTTATTGGCTTAGTGATTAATGATGTATGTATCAGTCTGCAGAATAGATTATCATGTTGTTTCATTGAAATTTTTCATACGCATCAAATAATCTCCTGCGAATCGTACTAGAAACACTATGCAGTTAAACAAGTAAGCGTGGTATTGTATGATGCTAGGTAAAGTCAACAATTTTACTGTATTTTGAAAACATTTTAACGAAACTGTGCCTTATATACATTAAAATAGAAGTGAGCGTTTTGGTCCTTTCAAACAAACGTAGCTACAGTCTCTCTCCCTTTCTCTGCACTGAGATTTTGAAGCCTGTGAACACAGTAAAGAACTATACATTTTCATCAGTACAGTCATTTGATACTCGTATTGCATGAAGAAATATGAGATTAATGTCCAAATCACAACTGACATGAAGAATGGAATACAAATTGGCATTCTTCATCTCCAATTGCCATATATATATATATATATATATATATATATATATATATATGCATAATTCTTACCATAACCTCCAGTAAATCAATTGAAAGAGAGAAATCTACCGATTAATTTCTGTTTCAGTGTACAGCTCTACTAAATTGATATTAGTATACTCGTCATGAATGAAGCCTTAGTGTTCCTAGACATTCCCTTCTATATATATATATATATATATATATATATATATATATATATATATATGGAGGAGACATGTAGCTCAGTTGGATAATTTTAGTGCAGTTACGTCCTCTGAGCTGGATGGCTGACCTGAGAAGCTTTCATAGTCTTTCTAGACTACATCTTCAGCGCATGCTCCAATTCGAAGTGAGCTTTTAGAATTCTCCACGAGTTTATTAGTCATCATCCCTGGTTACCTTAGACGTGATTGGTTGTGCTAGTGTATTTTGTCACCCTCTATTCCGCGTGTATTACTCTATTGATTGTTTCCTTGATTTGAAGGTTGAATTTTGATTCATGTGCTTTCCCTCTTGTGGAATGTGGCAAACCTTGTTTATACGAGTTTGACCACGGATTGATATCAGTTAGAGAACTACTGAAAAGTTAGAATACATGGGCCATTGAATCGGGTCCCAGTGGCTGAATGGTATACGAGCCAGCTTGTCTGGTAACCAGGCTGTCCTGGGTTCGAACCCCACTGAGGTGGGTGCGTACTGTCGATGATTCCAAACTAAGCTGATGAAACAGTTGTCCAGTACTCCAGTGCTGGTTTTTCAATGGTTTCTAACTGATGATATCAATCCGTGGTCGAACTCGTATAAACAAATCTAATCCTTACCAACCAAACTCTTGAAAACCTTGTCTATATCAATGTGTACACCTCTTGAAATGCTCCCATATGACCGGGCGTCTTACATAGCCTCTCCTGAGGAAGTTCTACTCACTGCCTTCACGTGGCAGAGGTGTTTTTTCACCGAAGTGAGAAAGCAAAAGCGGATGCTCGGCGCTCTTCATCGGGTTGACTGTCCATTGGATGACAGTCTAGGGGAGATGGCTAAACCCTGATTCCAAACCTCCAACGACTGGCGTATGAAGCTCACCGGAGCTCACCGGCAGACGTATGGACAGATGACGATCTGGTCAAATCAGTTCTAAATCCCTCGCCATTTCCATCTTGGCGATGTCGCAGGGGTGGACAGCTGAAAACATGGCTTCGTACAGTCAAGGCTGATATGGGGTGCCTGGGGCTACAAACCGTCTACGGACTCCGTCTGTGGAACAAGAATTGGATAACCGTGTCGCAAAACCTTGCATCAGATCGCCGCGCCTGGGCAGCGATGATTCGAGATGTTCATGAAGCCGGCTCATCCTCCCGTAGGAGATATCCGAAGTAAAGAAGAAGATCAATGTGTCTGTTGATTGGCAATTCATTTGATGACAGCAAAAGAATAGAAAACTAACATCATCTACAAGATAAATATTGTAACTGCTGTGAAAAAAATTACATTGGTCAAAGTGGACACCCTCTTCGTCTTCTTCACATACATGAACACAAACTAGCTGTCAAAAGAAAACCATATTCACTCCCTGCTGTCATTGCATTCAGACAACCACAAACACCAATTCAATTGGGATGATGTTCCATTCTTAGACAAAGAAAACACCGAAAATATGCCAGAGAATTTCTATAAGCCTGGTATTCAAGTAAATCAGGCAAACAACAGACACACTGATATAGACAAGATTTATCTACGAATTCACAAGAAGGGAAATCACATGAACAAAAAATCAACCTTCAAATCAAGGAAACAAGCAATGCTAATACACATGGACTAGAGGGTTAGAAAATACACAAGCACAACTAATTACGTTCAAGGCAACCAGGGGATGATGACTAATAAACTCGCAGAGAATTCAAAAAGCTCACTTCGAATTGAAGTATGCGCTGAAGATGTAATCTAGTAAGACTACGAAAGCTTCGCAAGTAAACCAACTAGCTCAGATAATACATTATATATACACATATTGTATATTCCAAATACGTGGTAAAGAGATCTACCAAAATTTCTTCTACAAATTAACTCGTGTTGATTCATAGTGGAAACTTTCGTCAAGCAATAAACAGAAGATGAAAAAAGATTACAGCAAATCATTTAACGTAAACAGTAGAAATAGTACACTTCGGTTGTTAGTGGTGACTAACAGTGGAATCAAAAATGTCCATTTCGTCCCCCATAGGAATAGGTATCGTCAGATGGATGTACCTGTATTCCCTATTGAGACCTGAATCCTTCATTTCAAACGTTAGAGCATTATACACTAAGGCAAAGTGGCCACGAAGGTCACCTTTTGAGCGACGGGTGCTATTTATTATTTGTTTTCAGGTTAATTTTGTATTACCGACTGATGGATTAAGTTGGACCGAAATATTCGGTCTCTGTTGAAACGTAGAGTCTCACTTGGAATATCATCTTTCAGTGAGAAACAGGCATAAAATGGAATTACACAAAAAACCAGGAGGATCTGGACTTCGCCGATGCTATATGTCTGGTTTCCCACAAACTGGAAGATATGCAAGTGAAAAGTAACAAGCTGGCAGTAGAAACATCCAGTGGAGATAAGACTTCCGGTGAACATAGATAAAACAGAGGTGATGAAGATTCCTAGCCAACATCAACAGCAACACCAAAAACAACAGACAACAATCAGCCAGCATAAATGGGAGGAACCTGAAAGGAACAAATTCCTTTACCTACTGACCTGAAAGCATCGTTTCAACTACAGGCGAATGAAACTGACGAGGATATCAAAGCCAGAATCGGAAAAGCAAGACAAGCTTTCATTATTTTCAAGTCTGTGTGGAGGTCAACAGCATTCAGCATGAAAATGAAAATAAGATCCGGATTTACAACTGAAATATGAAGTCAGTCAGTACTACTATACGGACAAGAGACTTGGCGCGTCATAAAGAGCATCTCAAACAAACTGCAGACCTTCATTGACAGTTGTCTTCGCTCAATACTACTCAAAATCAGATGGCCGGTCAGAAAAGATCAGCAACAGAGATCTCTGGGAGCGAACCAACCAACCAGGAACCGATTATGAAACAAATAGACAGGAAGAAATGGAGATGGATTGGCTGGCCATACCATCAAGTGACATCACTAGACAAGCCATCGCTCGAGTGGAACCCGAAAGGGAAGCGGTGAGTTGGTCGTCAGTGTGAGGGTGACTTGGAGGAGGTCATGTGAAGAGGAGATGAAAGCATGTGGGCAGACTTGGAGCGGGGTGAAAAGTTGGCATAAAACCGAACGCACTGGAGACGCGCAGCTGAAGCCCTATGTTCCTCTAGGAATTAAAGGATATAATAATAATAATAGTGGGAATGTAGGCACATGTACATGTAGGTCCCCTGCTAGTCACTGTCAACCGAAATAATACATTAATGCTTAGATGTTGTCGGAACGTAAGTACTTGTAGCCGATATGCCAATAGAGAGAGGGACAAAGCATTTCGGTCCAATGCAACTAATCAACAGACAGTCTAGAATTAACTTAACAAAAACAAACTAATAGGAAATGTTTACCTTCCATTGGATATTTATACGATTTCTTCCCTGTACTAGCCAAATGTAGCAAAAAGCTTCCCAATGTTAATGCATCATTTTCGGTAAGCTGTAGAAAGAAACAATAGTTAAACTCAATGGGAAATATTATTCAATCAGAATAACACTAGCTGATTAATTGACTGAAAAGAGAGAAAGAGAAAAAAGGATAATACCAAAGACAAACAACACAGTTTATCCTTTCATTCTGTGCATGTCACCGGTTTTTTCAATGATGGAATACTAGCTACCCCGTCCGGAAGGTCCAAATCCAATACCCAGCGGGCACACTCCCCTAATCCTTTTCTACCCACGAGTAAGTAGGCCAGGAAGAACAGGAAAGTTTGGCGTAAAAACACAACACCGCCGTTAGTGAAATTTCAAAGTTCAAGCACGAAATCTCATGTTCCACATGAAACGCAAAGGAATGAAATTAAACCTGAGAGTATTGAACAGCTGCTTCGTCCTAGTTCAGGGCTCTTCAACAGTACGCACTAGCACGGGTTCGAACCCAGGACCTTCTGGTTACAAGGCAAGCTCATGGACCCTTCAGCCACTGGGACCTAATCCAATGGCTTATAAATCCCAACCTCTGCAATTTCACAATACAGTGTGAACGCTCACCAATTTCATCGTCGAGTATTTGTCCTCACACCCAACCTTCTGTAACCCATTGATCATGACATTTCACCAGAACCCAGACAACTACCCACCGGGGTTCCAACCCCAGTGGGTGAGTAATTTTGGAGAGTCCCAATCTTGAACGAAACAGATGTTCAGTACTCCCTGGTTTCCAAATAGTTCTCTAACCGATGATGTCGGCTCATCTTAAAATCCTAAAACAAATCAAATCCTCAAACACCACCACTTGAATGAAATAAAATTTGAAATGCAGTCTATACTTCTGATTTGTATGTAGACTAAAAGAAGAATCGCTTAGAATAAAATAATATCATCACTCATAAGATGACGCCAATAATCAACAAGTATCTAATACTGCGTAATTCAATTTGAACTTTCCTATTGATTGATTTGGCCAAAGTGTTTGGCCACCTTTGAAATGTTAACTGTTTGTGCAGATGTTTCGACGATGTCTGAGAATTTAACTTGAAGTAATTTAATGGATGGTGACCAGTAGTGGAATACAGGACGTGCATTTTGTTCTGAACACTTCAGACAAATCAATCAACGGAGAAGTCCAAATCGAATTAAATAATTACTCATACCCGTTGCAAAAGAGGTGGCGTTTGACACACTGGGTACTGGATTCAAACCACAATGGGAACACCATCACTCATTGGAGAATCTAAGTGCATTTGGAAGAAGAGTCCCAGATAGGACGAAATCAGCATCCTGGCTAGATTCCACTGTAAGTCATCATCCACCAAATCACTTCAGATACTTTCTACATCAAGCGTTGTGCCAGAATCAGAAGCTCTACATCATTGTACATCTTGAGTTATTGGATAATAAAAGTTGCTTAAGACTGGACTTGAACTGACTAATAAATATACAAATTAATGTGGGTTAAGCACAGACCAATTAATAAAAGATCACAACATCTTCACGTTGTGTTTACAAGGTAGTATTTTCATAATGTTGAAGATTCTGAATGTAGAACGGAGATGTTAATTAATTAATTCTCTGTGTCGCTCAGTTTTTCTCAAAATCTCCAAAGATAAACAATCGCATTTGACCACTTTTATGTGTATCTATCAATTCACTTACTCCTGTGGAGAGAGGTGTCATAAATCGTTTTATCTAAAAAAAGTCAAGGAACATTATCCCCCTTTGACTACAGAAAGATAGTAGTGGATCAATAAGGAGTGCTATTGGACCTAATTGGACCTTCGACATGCAAGGAGAATTTATTCGAAGTTATCTACAAAGTCGAAAGAAACCTCCTAAAAACAGTAAGTTTCCATAACCTTTGCATTGCTGAGGGCTTAAAGATTTGCTTGGAAAAACCGTGTCTTGAGTAGGCAGAAGAGACTTCTTTATCCCCTCTTTCGATATTGAGTATATATAACTTCAAGTTCGGATATTATCAATATTTTGTTACTAATAGTATTATTTTGTGCATTTTTTGACGTATGACATTTATTAACATCATTTTCTTATCTAACCTTCCATTTAATCTCTTCACCTAATAAATAATTTATATTCATACTTGACTCCATGCTCTCTGGAAGTTTTTTTTATTTTGTGTAGCCTTAGTCTACACCCACTAATTTTCAAACACACACCCACTCCCGTAGTAACTATTTTGATTATTCACCATATTTTTTTTGAAATATTTTGACGACATAAACAATGACCCTAAATTAATTTGTATTCTTGTTTGACAAACCTAATGTACGCACGTACACACACACACACAAAGGAATAATGGCAAACGTAAAGAATAGTGGCCATTAGGTGCGAACGCAGCAGTGACCTTGAACGCATCTCACTCGTTGGCTTACAGAACCTGACGTGTTTTCTGCATAAAAAAGTCAATTATTTACGAAAAAAATACAGAATCATAATAATATTTAATTGAATTTTAGATCTTCCCATCGATTGATTAGACCGAAATGCTCGGCCTCAGGTTGACATGTCTGGTCATCTAGTTAGAATTCAATTGGTGTATGGTGACTAGCAGTGGAATCTAGGATGAAGCGCATTTCGCCCTGTTTGGGACTCGTCATATGTATGCACCTGCATTCCCCAGTGAATGATGATGTTCCCACTAAGGCTCGAACCCAGTGCTCATAGTTTCAAATGCCAAAGCGTTATCCACTAGACCACTTGGGGCACCCAGTTGACGAGTCCCAAACAGGACGAAATGCGCATCCTGGATTCCACTGCTAGTCACCATACACCAATTAAATAATAACAATAGTTTCAGGTTGAACCAAGGATTGATGTCAATTAGAGAACCATTGAAAACCAGGGAGTACCGGAGAGCTGTTTCAATTCACTGGGTTCAAACCCAGTGGGTGCCGACAAGTCCATAACTAGGATGGAACAGCTGTACATTACTCCCCGCTAGATATCAATGGTTCTTTAACTGATATCGATCCGTGGTTCAACCCGAAAAAAATACAATCCCTACAAACTAATTATTGAAAATAATAATAGCAATGAAACACATTAAAGACTATATTTTACCCTGACATAATTCAAGAATACTTCCACATTACAATGATCGGTATCACTTTTTAAGCCTCATATTTATCAAAACCGTTTCTTTAATATGGAAATACAATCTCCTTTGCTCGCATTTATTCATTTACAAAACAAATACAGATCATGATAATAATAATAATAATGTGTTTACCTTAATCTTCACATTAACCGTAATCGCAACCTTAACCCTAATACTAATCCTAAGTAAAATTCTAACCCTAACGTGCTGCCAACCCACTGTGGCAACAGTAACTATAAACGAGATCAGGGAGAAATTCGTGCACAGGGTTCATACTGAAGCAGCTTCTGTAATCTAATGAATGACATATATCCAGGGATTATTGGTGCGTCCGCACTACGATTATACAGCTAGGAGGTAGCGAATAAATTCGAAAAATAAAGGAAACTCTTTTTGATTGGACACTAGCAACTAGTGTGACGTGTCTAGTCCTTCTTTTCTTTGGTGCAGACTGAATTCTATCAGTCAGTCAAGTTTGCAATGTGGTCACAATGCCACTAGCTGGCTCGCCATCACAGTGCACATTGATTTAATGATATTAGATAGTTGGAGGCAATCGGTAGGCAGGAAGCCTTGAACCTAGGTTTCTTGCTAGTTGGCACTCACCATCAGTCAGCAAGGCGTATCTGCAACCACCTTAAAGGAACTTATGTCTCTTCTGAGATTCGAACCTGCGTCACCCAGTGCCGTCTGCAGTCAAAGACGTTACCACTGAGAGATATTACCACTCAAACTCCTTGTTGAACTGTTTGTTGTTAATTAATCAGAGCTTTTGTTTAACGATTGACTTTGTGTGTAGGTAAAAAAAATACCCAAGACCAACCATTGAACTTATAAATAAGACAATTCATGTGGATTCCCTGAAATGTTAAACGACAATTCTGCATTTTAACAAACATTAACCGGTGGTCATGCATGCTGTTGGGTTTGTTTTTTTCGATATCTTCTAACTTTCTGAAACACTGAACACACGATATTTGCATAATCCAGTATGCAGACTGTTGGTCAACATTTAGGCCATATGGGAAAAGAAATCAATAAAAGTTAACTAGGAATAATTATCATTAGCTTTAAACTACCTATTATTGCTATCATAATAAAAAGAAAAACTAAAATAAGATATAAGATCAGAATTGGAGCTGATAACAGACACGAACTTGTAAGAGGCATAGATTCAAGCTACCACACACAATACACCACAATGCAGCCGTAGTGAAATAATCACTTATTTCCTTCTGTTAGACATCATATTGTAACAACAGAAGACAAGACACTTGATAACGGACTTTTTAATTAACGAAAAACACGCCATAATTATACAGTTTTGAACCACAAAGATCAGCTAGGTCAGTGGACAATCAACTGTTCTGATTGGTTGTAGTTTGCCAAAGGTTGAACCTTGAGATAAAAAATTGTCCAATGAAATTGTTTCCTGACCACAACGTAAACTATTAAGTCCAGATTGGAGGAATAAACACTTCTGCCTCTGAGACTACTGGCTTAAAATGTTATTTTCAATTTTGGCTACGTCCTATCAACCAATGTTTGCATACTACTGATAAATCTTGTCAGTAGCACACGCCACAATATGTGATTATGCCTTGTTAAATTGATAGTGTTAATTGAACGTGAGGTCATGATATAACATTCTTCTTTTTTCACAGAAGGGTATATCAATTAAAGTTATCATAATGACAGTATTATACAATTGTAAATAATTTTAAACAAAACATGGAAGCCAGAGAAAAAGAGATACAAAATCGAATTGTCACTAGGGTCTGACTAATCACAGGATAGAGTCGCCAAGAGTTCCTAGTGTAACTTCATCACTAGTAGAGTCAGATGTATGAGGATAAATAAATAGTCGCGATAACACTAAC